TCCTCCTCAGTCCAGATATGGTCACTTCCTGTTCACTGGTTGATAAAGAAACAAGATGGTGACGGCCAAAATGCCGAACTGGAGGCTTCAAAACATCCACAAAGCAACGAGACGACTACGTCCACTTCTCATAAACAGTTTATTCCTCTGACCTTCTCTAAAGGACGAGTGACTCAGTAAAGACCTGAACAATGACTTCTTTATGAACACAGTTACGGTTCAGATCACGTCCACGCTGGAGAGGAATAACTTTCACTGTTTTCGGAGTGTGTGTGTGTGTGTGTGTGTGTGTGTGTGTGTGTGTGTGTGTGTGAGTGTGAGAGCAACACACACACAGCAGCGGTGATTGGAGTGGCTCTTAGGTTTCATGCTAATTGTGTTAAGCAGCAGTAAAAACATTGGTCATGTTCGCCATGTTCATAATTACGTCTGCAGCCGGTTGAAACCAACCGAACCGGAGAATCCGTCAGATTCAACGTTATTGTGCAGAACTTCACTTTGTGACTGTTACATGAACTGCTGGCAGCCTGGCGTGGTTTAGTGGCTCGTGAGGACTGATTGAGGAGTTATTCATAACCGTTGCAGCTGTTTTGGGGCTCAGTGTTTTGCCCGAGGACCCTTTGGCATGTTGACAAGAGGAGCTGGTGATCAAACCAGCAACCCTGTGATGAGTGGACGAGCCGCTCATCTTCAGACCCACTCTGAAGTGTGCTTCATCAGGTCGACATGTTAATGTGTGTCATACTGTGGTTTGTGACCAAATACCTGCAGAACTTAACAGCGTGTTAGCTTTGTTATTGTAGCACATGTTAGCATTACGTCCAGCCTCACAGAGCTGCTAGCAGGACGTTTCTTCCATCCACAGTGGCTCAGAAGGAAGTGACGGAGAGAGAGAAAGCCAAACAGGAGTGTTGTGATGAGAGGAACTCTGTGCTTAACGTTCATCTCTCTCTTTACATTGTTACTTGTAGATCGGTGCGAGCCACAGGAAGGAAGGAATGAAATCGATGACGGAGACGTTTTACGCAGCCATATTTGGATACGATGAGGTGAGAAACACTCGTACAGAAGCCTGCGAGTCTCTCGTGATAACGTGGGATCAGTAACGTGACGGTCGCTGGTGTTGGTGTGCTGTAGGGAATCCTGTCTGATGACTGTGTGCTGGCTGCAGCTCTGTGGAGAAACCTGTTCAACTGTGAGTGTGAGGACCCCGAACAGCTGGAGCTCATGGTGGGATACGTACGCAAACAGGTGTGTGTGCTCTCCTCTATCTGTGTTTACTTCGTGAACACATACACCCACACATGCACAGACGTCTTCACTCGTCACAATCATGTTGGACGATTCTGCTACACAGCGATGTCCAGAGTCAATGCAGGAATCAATGTGCCGCTTATGTGAAGTACAGTCAGCGTGTGAATGTCTGAATGTCAGTCTGGAGACTAAAGCTGAACAACAGTTGATGTCAGCTTTTGAGACTTTAGGGATGGAAATGTTGGTCAGTCGTCAAGAATGAAGCCAGTACTTCATGTGTCAAAGCTGCGTTCTCTCTAGTGTCCACCAGGGGGCGACTCCTCTGGTTGTATAGAAGTCTATGAGAAAATGACTCTACTTCTCTCTTGATTTATTACCTCAGTAAACATTGTAATGAGTTTATGGTCTCAATCTCTAGTTTCAAGTCTTCTTCAATACAGCATGATCAAGGATTTCTAAGTCTTGGAAAGAGAAGAGCGAGCAGAGAGGTGTTCAGTCAGCTGCAGTCTGCAACCTCACCGCTAGATGTCACTAAATCGTACACTGTCCCTTTAAGAATAGTCTGTATTAAACTGAGACTGGTTCACAACCACACGAGGTTCCTCACTGTCACTTTGAGAGAAGGGTCTTCTTCCTCCTTTTGGTTCGAAGGGTTAAATCCAGTCGATGTTAGACTAAATGTAAACGGAGTATTAGCTCGACGCTACAACCCGACACTCTGTTCTGCCTCACCCACCTCACCCACTCCCCTCTGAGCACTTTACCCCCCCTCCCCTCCCCTCTCTGTATATTTTCTTTCCCTCCGTGAGATTGAAAACACTCCTTCAGAAACACCTGCAAGCCTCCAGGACCACCACCACCTCCTCCTCCTCCTCCTCCTCTCTCCCATTTACTCCCCCTTCCTTTCATCCCGTCTCCAGAGTTCTGTTTCACCGTTTGCATCGCTGCTCCTTTTTAACTTTTAACATTCACCTTCTGCTGCATCTCCTCTTTCTCTTGTAAGCTCTCGTGCAGAACAAGCCCCGACACTGCTGCGATCACCGCCTCACAATAATATCACACACTCGCAGTGTGTGTGTGTGTGTGTTAGTGTTAGAATCTCTCCTTAAACGTAACACGCATTCACATTTCCAGATACAGTAAAGACGTTTGTCAGGTTCACTGTCTGAAGACGAGCTCCTCGTTTATTGGTCCTGATGCTTCCTTTGTTTGTCATCAGCTGCTGCACGAGATCACATTTCATCAAATCGTCTTCACGAGTCACTGAAGGCTGAAATAACAAACGCAGAATGTCTGAAATGTAGACGCGTCGTATATGAAACAGGACGGGAGACAAAGATCTCTGAGGAGGAATGAAAACGGTTTCATAAGAGATTCACTGTGTCAGAGCTCAATGAATCATGTTTATGGACAGTTTAACAGTAAATCTATGAAAATCACATGAAAACGGAGAGAAATGTCTTTAATACACCTCTGGCTACCAGCTGGTTTCAGGTGTGTTGTTGAGAGACTTTGACCATGAACGGGAGCTCAACACGTCGGGTTCATACTGGAGACGTCTTTACAGTCTAAACGTGTCACAATGATGATCTTAGAAGAACGTGACGATGACAAAGTATCCCACAGCAGCTTTAACTGCTTTGATCTGTAAAAACACATTTCAGTCAACAGCAAACATCTGTATCGGTAAACGATGAGCTTCCTGTCCCGTGCAGATGCAGTACGTGGACGCTCTGGACGGAGACGACCTGATTCTGACCGGAGAAGTGAAGTGGCGCCCTCTGGTGGAGGAGAACGCTCAGAGCATCCTGAAGGTGGCCACGCCCACCTACAACGACACCGGACTGTGAGACGAAGAAGACTCCTCTGACCTCTCTCTCTCTCCTCCCTCTCTCGCTCTCTCTCTCTCTCCCCCTCCCTCTCTCTCCCTCCTCCCTCCTCTCTTCTGTCGTAGAAGGAGAGATTCTAAATCTGTTGCTGTAGCTTTCTCATCCACTCCTCTTCCTCTTCCTTTCCTTCCTCCTCTGTCTCTGGATGCTCAGTGTAGACAGTCGGGGATTATCTTTCACACACACACACACACACACACATACACATCTGCGAACCAGCCAATCCAACAACGGGAACCGCCATTGCATCATCATCTTCATCATCTTCCTCCTCCTCCATCGCTGTCCTGTCGGTTCTGAGAGCTTCCTCTCTTCACAAGAAGAGAACAATAAACTCTATTTATGTTGTTGTGAATGCCACGCTGTATTTATAAAGTATTTTGTATACCTCCATGTTTACACTCTGCGCCTCAGACTTCTGTCACCGTCGCTTTAATCGGGTGAAGTCAGGTGACCTGAAGATAATGCTTCTCTAAACGAATGATAGAAACAGTCTGCCTCTCTCGTCCCTCGACGCTCTCGGACCCAACAGGAAGCCGTCGTCACTGCAACTACAAATAAACCACAAGAGTTCTTTTGTTCTTAAAGAAGTGAATAAATAAAATGTTATCTGGAAGTATTGAACTACCGAGCCTCGTTTCTGTGACCTAAAGGGCTAAAAACTGAGCTTTGCTGTGAAGCTTGTTAGCCTAGCATGCTAACGTCCTCGTTCCAGTGGAAATGTAAAGTTAATAACACGATGAGTGTCGGATGTCTCAACGCTACAGAACCAGAGCGACATCGGCTGAAGAAGAGCAGGTTTCCCTCCAAATGAAGTGCACATTTTTAAACCGTTTCTCCAGAAAACTGTCTAAAGAGAATGTGAAGTAAAGCATGTTTCCCTCCACTTCTGTTGTGTGAATAAGAGTTCATTTACTGATCAGATGAACAGCTGGTGGAGCTCATTGGTGCCGTTAAATATCTGCAGAAGAAGAAGAGGTCGTTAAAGAACTTCATCCGGAGAACATGATGGAAATATTGTGTTGGTTTCACGTGTTAATGTGAGGAAGGTTACAGCCTCATCGCCACACACACACACACACACACACACACGCAGGAGGATGGAAACGTCCAATAGCTGCAGCATCGTATCTTCTAGTGGAGAGAATTCTCTTTTCAGTTTGACCTCGTTTGAGTTTCACAATAAGAGCCCAGTAAGGACCCTTTGTTATTGTCAGACCCCCGGATCAATAAATACATATTATCTTGAGAATCGGAGAGATTTGTTGTCGTCCAGTTAGAATAAAATCCGATGTGAAGCTCCATGAGGACACTGAACCTGTGATTGTTACATCATTGAGGATGTCTCTGGTTCGTCTCTATTTAAATACTAAGAACGCCAGAAGAAGATTCACTTTGTTAAACAGAGGACACTAAAGAATACCAGCATGCTGTTCTGACCCACAATCCTTAGCGCAGCAGGTTGAAGGTGCCATGAGGAGGTAGTACTTCCTGATTGGATGATTACTGCGTGTAACAGCGTGTATTTTGTATCGGTAGTGTGTACTAGAAGTAAAATATATAAAGTATGTGACTTGTAACGCAGCTTCTCTCTCATATCGACTGTAGGAGACAAACTAATATTCTACTCAAACCATAATTCATTTAGTTTTTAGCTAAATCCTATAAAATGAGTTGAATGAATGCACATTATTGAGCTGATTCCACTTCCTCTGACGTGTAGGTGCTGCGTTGGGCCTGCAGAGGGCGCCACACTCCAGCTTCTAGCTCAGCTGATGATGATGCAGCGTCTGAAGGACCTTTTATTTATATTTCTTATTATTACTTTACGTGTGATTTTCAGCCCACACACGTTTACAACAGTTACAGTTAAAGCAGATTCAGTGAACGGTTTCTCCGTCTCCCTGACGACACACAGGTGATCTCCGTTCAGCTCATCATGTGACTTCACACATCAGTGATTCTACAGGTGTGTCTCCTTCAAGCAAGACAATGCAAACGGGTATTTTTGCATTTTATATTTGTGATGAACTAATATTAGTTTGTAGAAATGTGTTCAAACTAAAACATTTGGGTGTTTTATTGTGACCATTTCTTCCTTTTCAGAAGTTCCTCTTTAACTGTTTAAACAAACTAAATGTAACAATCTGTCCTCTGGAACTCATGGGAACTCTTTTCCTCAAAGTCTGGAGCTGAAAATGACATCAAGAAACCAGTTTGTTTCTCTCTCTCCTCAGTGGTTCTCAGTCTTCTTTGGAGTCTTCATGCTCCAAACGTTGTAAACTCATATTCATGTTTTACTGACTGACATGAGGACACGGACACTTAAGTTTCCCCAATAAAGCCGAGTTAACTGACGGCCTCGAAATGCTGTAAAATATGAAAGGCTGAATGACAAAATGAAATGTTTGATGAATAAATCTGTGAGATATAATCTCTGATTTCATGTGTTTTTATGTTTCATTTTTAATCCTTAATGTTTCTGAGTAATGTCTTCTTTGTTTACGTCTCCGGTTTAACGCCATGCTTAACGTCACATTGCTATGAATTGTGGGTAAATCCCGTCCTGTCAAATCCTCCAGCGTTTGAGTCTCTGACATGTTGAGCTCTTCATCAACACTTTACGTGAGTCTGCACTTCTGCAGACTTTGCCCGAGGGAATTACCCACAATTCATAGCAAATTTTCTTTTAGGTTTCTGCAGGTGTGTGAGCATAGAGCGCAGCCAGTCGAACACGTTTAACACACGTGAACATGAACAGGACTAAGAGTCTGCAGCGATGCTGAAGCCTCCCGTCAGTCGGGTTTAAATCAGTGCAGCTGTGACTTCATCTGGATCCTTAGATCTTAATCTCATCACTGAAATATTGAAAACATTCAGCTGACACGATCAGCATCTGAATGTGCATCTTTACTCCGATACGTTCATGTGCATTCCCACAGAGAGAGAGAGAGAGAGAGAGAGAGAGAGAGAGAGACTGCTCTGCAGCATGTCGGAACATTCTCCTCTAAACTTGAGACACAGATGGACTCCAAGTGTTCAAGTCTCTTAACTAGTTTGGGAGACAGAAGCTCCCTCACCAGCTGCACGTTACTGCTTCTAGATATCGATTCAGTGGGTCGACACGCTTTATTTCAAGAGCTTTTTACTCTGACAAGAGGATTTTATTCGGTGTATTTTACTCTAAAGCGTCGTGACAGGAGGATGTTTCGTGGGTTAACCTGATAACTATTGTATCCGTTCATAAAGAAACCAGTTCTACCAGAGCGACGGTGTTACTCTCAGCCTCGTTCTCTCCCAGTTCGTCATGCGTCTGACCTGCCTCGGCTGCAGATCAGGTTTAATCTCATCAGGATACCAATAAATACTCCTACAGATGCACAAATAAAGTATAAGATCAGCACGTACACATCTCCATCTTCATTTATACACAACCAGAGTCTTTGCCGACGATGATCTGTTGTTGCTGATAGAAGTAGAAATCACTGTTGATGTGATACTTAAGTCACATTCATTCTCAGTGACAATCTGCACAACTGAGGTTTCAGTGTCTGAATATATACGTCGTGCTAATTTATCCAGCAGATGTCAGATGCTATCATGGCACTCCATCAACAGAGATATTTCCCTCTGCACCAAAGTGATGAACTTGCCAAAAACAAACATGTTTGCTTTGTTTAAGATCAAAGACGCTCAGTTTTCATCGAGAACCAAAAGGTGTTTTTTACCCACGAGGAGAGTTTTGCTCCGTTTGTGTGTCAGGACTTGAACTGGGTCACGAACCAGGTCTCATTCTGGAGGATCCCAGGGTGACAGAGTCGCTTTCCTGACATCTGGGTCACAGAGGAGCCGAGACCTCTTCGCACTGCTGCAGGTCAAACTGAGTTTTACTCTTTGAGCTTCATTTGTCTCTGTTTCAGTAAATCATCAATAACAAGCTGGAGCATGATTATACATAACACATGATGGCTATAGCAGCATGAAGTTAGCATGTAGCATGAGTGCAGTAGTCGTGTGTTTGTGTGCATGAAAGACAAACATCCTCCAAGTTTTGAGACTTAAATGATTCAAAAATAAAGAAAAATGTCGGCGATTAAATGCAACTATCATCAGCTTCAGTGTGACGATAAATAGGTTTATTATCATATTTAACAGACTTTGCATTCAGTTTTAAGTGAGTCATTCGAGTATTTAATGAAATATGTGTGAGCTGCTAGAACATGTTTGGAACATCACACGATCAAATGCTCCAGCGGTTCTTCAGTCAGAAGAGTCACATCACACATGCATGAAGGAGTCTCTCTGGAATAAAGGGGAGCGGTTGGTCCTCTGCAGAGGAGGATGAGGGAGGACTTTGAGCTGCTCTGAACCTGCATGAACAAGAATCCTGCAGGTGACGTAATGTGATTCTCTCTTCGTGCTCGTCGTCTTCCTGTTTGATATTACGTAGTCTTCTCTCTTCACTCTCTGTTCTCTATGAAGGGGAACGTCTGCATCGCCCATTTTCATGATGTCTTAGCGACAAAAAAGTAAAAAAAAGAAATGTTCCGTCCTACACATGTTTGTTTTTAGCCTCCTTGGACGTTGATGTTGGTCCTCCACACTGAAACTTCTCAACAACTACTTGACAGAGTGCCATCAAATGTGGTTCAGACATTCATGATCCCCAGAGGATGAAAATGGGCAACTGTGTCCCTCGAAAGCCGCTTGCTAGACGACGTTGACCAACAACAGAGCGTTGTCCTCAGGAGGCTCCGTATGTCCGCGCGGATGTAGATACATGTTTGTGATCGGGTCCAAATCCAGGACGTCACGTTCTCGACAACTTTGCATTAAGAAATCTCCAGATATCATCAATCGTTTGCTATTGTGAGACTAATCATCATCATCCAGCTCTCTGGTTTGTGGCCAGATACCTGTTTAACAATATATTGTAGAGGCAAATGTTATCATTCTAACACGCTAAACTAAGATGGGAAACATCAGCATGTCTTTGTGAGCATGTTAGCATGCTGGTGTTAGCATTATGCATGAAGCCTTCAGAGCTGCTAGCAGACTGTAGACTCTTAGTCGTGTGTTTTCCACACGGCTCTGGTCGGTCTGCAGGATGGCAACAGACCCCAAATACATGAACACGTTCCAGCTGTGAGGTCTGCACGTAAGAAACGATGAAGTCAGCTGCAGTGAATCAGCCGTCTACCAAACGACATGATGAAATATTACATGGCTGTGTCTGAAATGCAGGGTTTTATTAGACATGACAGCTGTCGGGCTAGCAGTGTTTGCTTATAGTGGTTTTAATATTCTGATCATATTCACACCGCTTTAGCACAAAGTGTTTTCATAGAGCAGCTCGTGACTCAGTCGTCTCCGGCCTCGTGGTTTGTGTTCAGCCTCACTTAGTTCTGTTTTCAGTTTGCTTCCATTTATTTGTTCTGTTTCGTCACCAAACCTTATCTGTCAGCGTCTCCGTCAGTCGTAGTGTTTGTGATCTACTTCAGAGTTCACCAGCACAGACGCCATGACTCAGTGATTACCTTTAGAAGAAAGGCCTCCGGGTCACCCTGCAGCTTTAGGTTTCTCCTGCCGTGGTTTGATGGGTGTGTTTGGTTCTTTGCTTTCTCACCTTTGGCACACACACACACACACACACACACACACACACACACACACACACACTGCTAAATGACTGTAATGTAAATGTAATATGAAGTACAGTCAGCGTGTGAATGTCTGAATGTCAGTCTGGAGACTAAAGCTGAACAGTTGATGCCAGCTTTGCTTTGAGACTTTAGGGATGGAAATGTTGGTCAGTCGTCTGCTTTGGTCCAGATCAGGCGACAACCTCCGGTTCTTTAGAGTGAAGTCAAAGCTTCATGTCTTAAAGCTGCATTCTCTCTAGTGTCCACCATGGGGCGACTCCTCTGGTTGTATAGAAGTCTATGAGAAAATGACTCTACTTCTCTCTTGATTTATTACCTCAGTAAACATTGTAAACATGAGTTTATGGTCTCAATCTCTAGTTTCAAGTCTTCTTCAATACAGCATGATGTTCATTTAGTACATTATGGTCCATTTAGAGTCACACAGACCATAAAGCAGGGGATGCTTTAGGGCGGGGCTACACAGTGATTGACAGGTCTCTACCAGAGACGTATACGGCGTCTCTACGTCACTCCTCCTCAGTCCAGATATGGCCACTTCCTGTTCACTGGTTGCAAAAAACCAAACATGGTGACGGCCGACACGCCAAACTGAAGGCTTCAAAACATCAGTCCACAAACAATAGAGGACGTCATGGTGACTACGTGCACTTCTTATAGACAGACTATTGTTACAAACCCGAGTGGAAGAAGAGATTTTATGTTGAGGACAAGTTGGAGGTTCTTCATTTTACTTTGGTTCCTCTGCTTTTACTTTTCCTCTCTATAACATTTAAAACACTCACTGACATAATATTCTATCATGAGCTCGTGTCTTGTGTTCACCACTTTTATTGAAGAATAGCGAACAAAGTTCCACCAACTCAGCAACAAATATATTGTTTTATTATTAAACGCTTTGAGATGTACCATCTTGTTTTCAAGGGGTTCCTTAACAACAATTATACAAAACATTTAACAAAAAGCTAAAACAGCAAGATAATTAAACAATACCAAATATGACAAAAAATAAATATGAAATAAGACATAAAATCAGGAGGTCGTACTCAAACGGAGCATAAACATGGATCATTCTTTCACAGGTTATAGAAAAGCAATAACTAATCATTTTCCTGTGACATCTTCACAATAAATGTGAAATGTAGGTTTTGCGTTCGGAGGAAAAACAATAAGTTAAGAGTTTAATCTGACTGTTATCTTTCTGCAGAGATTCAGGGCCATGTGTTGAGTGACTCCACATGTTCAGTAGATGTGTGTCTGACCTTCATGGTGATGAAGAGTAACACAACTGTCAGGACATGAAGGCAGCTTAGTGTGTGTGTGTCTGTGTGTGTGTGATTTAATGAGGGTCAGACAGTAAAAACACAGAGAACATTAAGCCCCCTTTAAAGGCCTCTACACACTGAGGGTGTTTGTTCTGTGGAGTTAATTCCCACGTCAACGTGTTCTTTGAAGACGTCACACAGAAACATGAATAATACGCGTTTCTTTTCAGAGCTCGGTTGATATTTCTGAACTTTCGCACAAAGAATAAAAGCATCAACCAATCAGGTCGTGAGGAACCGACGGATTCGAAACGTAACAACATGGAGGCTCTGTAGTCTGAACAAAGACTACTATTTTCAACCTTGACAAAGGCAGCACAGACCAGATCCACTCCTTCTGTTCTTACCTTTCACAATAAAAGCCCTAGATGTAACTGTTTATCAGAGGGAACTCAAGTTAAACTAAACTCAGACAGACTGTCGCTGGCAGTATTAATACGGGTTAGTTAGGTTAAGTACAAGTTAAGGCCTTTAAACACAGAGAACGTGAGAATTAACGACAACGAAACAAAATGCAAAAGACTCTCCTGCGAATATTGTATGTCTAGGGATTTTATTGTGAAAGGTAAGAAGGGAAGGAGTGTATCTGGTCTGCGCTGTCTTTGTCAATGTTGAAAGGAGTAATAAAGTTTTAAAGGACTACAGAGCCTCCGTGTTGTCGTTTTTATAAACAACACGACGTGATTGGTCGATGCCTTTTATTATAAAACTACACGTTCTGTGACGACGCATAATGTTTGTTGTTAGTTTTGTGTGAAAGTCCTCGTGACATAATAATTAATCACACGACTAACGAGCTTTAAGGAGTCATGTGTTTTATGCTGTGTCGTCTGTCAAAGCTGCTTTCACTCCCTCCTCATCTTCTATGTCTCCTCTCTCTTCTCTCTCACTCTCCTCCTTTCATCTTGTCTCTTCATCCCTCATCTCTCCCTCCTCTTCCTCCTCTCCTCTCTCTTTTCTCTCCCACATTTCTTCTCCTGTCGTCTCCTCTTTCCTCTCCTCCTCACCACATTTTTTTTCTCATCCTTCAGCTCTTTAACGTGAAGGAGACGCGGCAGCACACGGAGGAAGAGGTCGGGGCCTTCACGAAGCTCATCGAGGCGATGGGCTTCACTGGACCGCTCAAATACAACAAATGGGTGAGTGATGAAGGGGGGAGGAAGCATGAAGGAATGGAGGGACCAAGGAAGAGGTGAAGAACATGAGAGGGAGTAGAGAGTTCTCTCAGTTCAGCTCCTTCAGGAGTCGCAGACAACAAAAATCACAAAGTTATGAAAGTTAGGTCAAAGTCAACTCAGAAAATAGAATTATAGGAAGGTTTGAGGTGGGCGATACATTTAATAATTCAATCATTCAACCTTCAGAATGTAAATAACCATCGGAGTGTAAATAAAGTTTTAACGTTAACCCGCAGAGTGTAAATAAAGTTTTAACGTTAACCCTCGGAGTGTAAATAAAGT